AGGGGGACCCAAGCTGGACAGACGGAGAGCGAGCAAAGGGGGTTGGAGGGAGCCGGTGGACGAGCGGTTATTTCAAGCGACGACTCTTCTGGCACTTCGCCCCGAGCTTTCCTCGAGCGCATCCTCTCGCGCGCGCGGTTTGTGTCAGTGTCGCCGCGACGGCAGCTACAGCCGGACAGTGGAGAACGTGGTGGCCAGCTGAAGGGGTGTCTCCGTTGCGAGCCGAGAACCGAGGGGGATGAACTTTGGCGAACCTGCCGGAAGCTGCTGGAGTCCGAGGATCCATCGGTTCTAACATCCTCGAGGATTCTACCCGTTCTTCGAGGGGGTTGAAGGGGGACTGTCCGAGGATCGAGGATTCAGAAATTTCGGGATTCTGATGCAGTGTCCTTGAATTGGACCATAGTCTAAGGATCATGCTTATTAGAAACTGGTGTTTGGAAGATTGATGTGTCAAAGTTGGACATAGTCTATGACAGGACAGACCGAGGATCTTTATTGGAAACCTACGATTGTTCGCAAGATTAGTGTCATTTGAGGGTTGAAGTGAACTTGGGTCATCCCTCGAAGCGTTCTTTGGACTGCGTTGATTGTGTCATTGGGGGAGTATCGAAGGATCGAGTGAGTGTCAGTGAACCTGAATCCTTAGGGGTGCTTTGAACAGGTGTGGTGTTTGGGTGCAGAAAAGACACGTGGATTTTAGATTCTGCAGTGACTGTCGGTGGTGATCGAGGATTTTTCCGGGGGATCTATGTGAAAGCTTTCTAAGGGATCGTCGAGTTGACAGCAGCCACGCGATCCTGGACCGACCGAGTACAGAGGAACTTTCTTCGTCTTCTTCTTCCTCCTTCTCGCGTCCTCCTTTTTTTACCGGCCGTATCGGCCGGCTGGCCCGTTGGATCGTCTGATTTTCTGTTCGCCTCTGTCTCGACCGAGGTTCCCCCCTTTTTCACCGTGGATTGAGAAAAGCCAGAGACGCCAGACACCGAGGGCGGAACGAGGGACGAGAGCTTTTCTGGGAAAGGGAGCCCACGACTGGTGAGTGGAAGCTTCGCTCGCGCTTTCGGCGGAGAAAGATTCGCGGAAGATACGCTGATTTCGCGAAAATCGTTTGTTGATCGATGGGATAGGTGACTTCCGTTCAGCTTCGGTCTGCTTTCCGACGATTCGTCTGGACACGTTTCCAGATTGGTTCTACAATTTGCAGGATTTGTTTAGGATTCCGTTTAGATTTTTATGTAGAACGAAATTTGGGTTATAATAAACCAGTTTAACGGTTCTGTGTTGGGAGGATACTTTAATCGAGGATTTTATGGGAAATTGATGGTTTGTTTTGTGTTGCTTCCGAGAGATATATTTCCGTTGTAACAGTTTATGTTTATTTTGACTTATTCAGACGGAGAATGATAGTATTTGTTAGATTCATTTGAGAAGCTTGTATTATTTTAGTAAATAAAGAACAGCGGATGAATCGCGATAAATGTTTTGGAGGTGGAAATGATTGTACAGAGACAAATGATTGTTTGCCGGTTGAAACAATGTGTTATGAAAATAAGCTGTAAGCAGTCGACGTTTAGCTATATTTTAGAGAAATAATTCGAGCAACTTTCTCGGTCGACGATTCGTTGAATTTGTTTTACGATTCGACGAGATTGACATGTTTCTTCTGAAAAATTAGCTATCGTCATTTCGGAAACTTTGCACGCAATCCTTTTTTTTTACTGCGTCGATATTTGTAAACAAGCAAGTCTGCTTTCGAAATTCACCGGCTGCTGGCGGTAATCTGCCAAAAACGTTGCCGGTTCATAGTGTGTCGGCCAATCACTGACGGAAGAAAATAAACTACTGTTCGACTCATTCTGTTCGTCTTCGCGAATTGTACGAAAAATTAGGATACGAAAAGGAAAATATCGTTTACTAGGAAAATTCGAAGGTCTTCGGTTATCAAGCCCATTAATCACAGAAAAATCCATCGAAGCCACGTGTCGCGCTAAGTCAATTAAAAGTAAATTAAGAAGTAGTTTATTTTCTTGAGATAATCACCGAAGAATCCAAGCAACTGCATGGAAAGTTGAAGCCAAGTGTCAAGAACACAAGCAAACAACGTTCCGATACTTTGATCTACGACGGGATTGATCGACCGAAAATAGCCGGTGATCTAATGATCGCGAATCGATCGGAAAACTGGAACAAGAAGCAACGAACGCTTCCAAGTTGCAACATATTATTTATGTCACAATTTCCGAATATGAAGCTTCTGAAATAATCAAATTTTCAAATAGTAAAATTTGTACGTATTCAAATTCTCAGATATTCAAATTTGTAAATATTCAAATTTTCAGATATTCAAATTTGTAAATATTCAAATTTTCAGATATTCAAATTTGCAAATATTCAAATTTTCAGATATTCGAATTTGCAAATATAATTTGCAATATTTACAAACATTCAATTATTTAATATTTCAAATAGTAAAATTTTCAAATATTCAACATTTCAAATAGTAAGATTTTCAAATAGTAAGATTTTCAAATATTCAACATTTCAAATAGTAAGATTTTCAAATATTCAACATTTCAAATAGTAAGATTTCCAAATATTCAAATTTTCCAATAGTAAGATTTTCAAATATTCAAATTTTCCAATAGTAAGATTTTCAAATATTCAAATTTTCCAATAGTAAGATTTTCAAATATTCGACATTTCAAATAGTAAGATTTTCAAACGTTCAAATTTTCAACGCGTCAATCTGCCAATGCGTTTTACATCGCATCGGGTCCCGGATATCCCTGCTTAATATAATGCGGCGAAAATTCGACGAACAAGTAATGAAATTAGCCGAATATCGGTACGGATCATCGGCAAAACAAAAATGCACATTTCCGGTCCCCGGGGTACGCGCTTCCGGCCGCTGGACGGTCAATTTCTCGCTCGAAACGCGCGTCGTGCAAATGAGGGACGAAAATTCGTGCGTCATTCGGCCTGGCATGAAAATAGACTTGACCGACGTGATTTAATCGTGAATCTCGACACGGCGACCGACCCGATCGATTAAGACGCGTGTTTTCGTCGCCGGGTATTAGGGCATCGGGCGCATTCGAATTATTATCGGTAGCCAGCCGCTTCGCACTGTCATTTCACCAATGAAAATCAACGGTCGTCTGACAATGGGCCGAGTGAATCGTTAATCGCGAGGGCAATCTTCATTTTGGTATAAACAAGAATGGAATAAATTATTTTTTTAAGTCGCAGGAATGTATACTAATTACCTTTCGTCATTGTGACATTAAAAACGAAACTGATTCTTCGATTATATACATCGATCAGATAAAAATTTTAACTTTCTATTCATTTATCGTTTCCATTTTCTATTAACTGAATTTCAAATGAATTCCACAAATATAATTAAAATACTGTTATATTGTAACACGTCGAAATTCATGAAAATCAACTTAAGATTAAAATTGCATCCATTAACTAAATGTCATTAGCAGACACTTACCGAAATCAATTATACTTCAATTCCTATTTCTCTATATACTCCAATTTCATTCTAAACATCCAAGAAACGTTTGTAAATTCTCTCTAACACTTCTCTACCGCATCCCCCGAAGAACTGAGGAAAGCAAGATAAAAAAAATCATGACAAATTCCCATAAAAATCGCAAGAAACATTATTGGTTACGTTTCACTATCGGGCCAGTTTTAGGCTTCCCGCGGCTGATCCAAAATTACGATCAGCGCCCGGGCTTTCCCTTGGCCGAAAATCCGTGGAAAAAAAGGAAGTGGATCGAAAATAATCGGTGGTGGCGCGGGATTAGAAACAAACAAATTGTCCGGCGGGAAAGAGAGAGTGTCGCGGTCGCATTCTCGATCTAGAATCTGGATTAAAGGAGCTTAGCAAGTCGCGTCGACGAGACGCGAGGGAAGAGATTAAATAAAGCCGGAATAAATTATCCTTCCCTCCCTTGGCCCGCCTCTCTTCCTCTTTCGATTCGTGTCTCTTTTTCGTACGAGCGCAGCGACAGTGGGGCCCCTCTTTCGGCAACAGTGCTCGCCACTCCGTGGGTTAAACGACGAGAATTGGGGTAATTCCGCGGCAAACGCTGCGCAAACCGACACCGAGATCGCCACGAAGGAATTTACTTTGATACCAATGAAAGTGGAACGGGGATTTTCGTTCTGTAGAGATTTTCCCGGTGATTTGTGAAAGGAGAATCCGGTGTGTTTAGGTTTGTTGAGAGCAAATGGATTGGAGGTGGATTTATTGAAGTGTTGGTGAACGTTTCAAAGTCTCGAAGTTCTGAAGTTTCAAGTGACCTATGTTCTAAAGTTCTGAAGCTTCAGATGACCTATATTTCAAAGTTTCAAAGCTCAACAGCTCCAAGAATCCAACGTCCTAAAGTCTCAAAGCTTCAAAGTTTCAAATGACCTATATTCCAGAATTCTAAACTTTCAGATGATCTACATTTCAAACTTTCAAAGCTCAAAGCTCCAAAAATCCAACGTTTTAAAGTCTCAAAGCTTCAACCTTTCAAATGACCTATGTTCCAAAGTTCTAAAGCTGCAGATGATCTATATTTCAAAGTGTCAAAGCTCAAAGCTCCAAAAATCCAACGTTTTAAAGTCTCAAAGCTTCAAAGGTCCATAGATCCATAGATCCAAAGCTCTAAAACTCCAAAGCACCAAACTTCCCAACTTCCAAACCTAAACAAATGACTACACACCTCCGCGATCCACCGCAACCGCCGTACCTTCCATGACACAAAACAATATCTCTTCGAAGGAAAAAAAAAGCGGAAACCTTGAATTTCGAAGATGTCGCGAAGATTTCGCGATTGTTCGACGCGTAACGTCGGCGTCAGCGACGCGCCGCTTCCGGTGTTTACACGAGCAAAACGCGGAGGAGAAGCGGGTACGAGCCCGCGCCGCGCAAATGATAATATACACGCGAGATGAATTACGCGTGAGTTTTTCTCTGTGTGTACCGTAGGTCCAGTGATCGCGTGGATACCATAGGTTTCGCTACTTCCGCTGATACTTCGCTGCCCCGTGCTGTATGCGTGCCTATTTACGTCTGTACGTGCATAGCGCCCTTGCAGATTAAAGAACCGCGTGCGTCCATATCGGGAGGAATCCTTGCCTTAAAACATAAATCACTGATATAATGAAGTGGCCGGTTCTTGCGATAGTTTCTTTTCGCCGATGAGATTACGTGGCCTGTAATTACAGACGCCTTTACAACGGCGAAAAACCCCTTGTCCCTAACGACGTCCCGCCGTTTCGAATTAATCCGATTCCGAACCGCCACCGGAAGCTGCGGCCAGCCGACAACACGAAGATCGATTGGCGCGGAATAACTGCGAATCAGACATTTAGAGTAATGAAGGTTCAAAGCGGAGACCCATTTTTCTTTGTTCATCCTACTACTCTAATATTCTACTATTAACATCATTACTCTAATATACTACCTCTCCTACATAGTTACTCCTATTTCAACGTAATCAACAATCTAACATAATTACTATAATTCTACTACAAAAATGAAACTAAATTCCAAGACACCTTTCATACATTCAAACAACAAACTTAAATCCCAACCTCAATCATGAAACGTTAACTATATCTCACACATCCTCCAGCAAGAAAAACAATTTGAACATTCTTCTCTTTCCCATGGAGTCCACCTTATAGAAACCGTGTCCGACCTGCACGGTGCACCGTGGCCCAACGAAAAGTGGTCCTTAACCGCACTTGACTTTCGAGACGAAGGCCAGAAGGAAAGACAACGTCGGGGGGCGAGGGGACGCATCAGAAGGAGGGGGATCGGGTGAAAAGGAGGGATAGAAACGTCCATTATTCTATTCCGACGAAGTGAGGCCGGCAATCTGGCCTTATAAAATAAACCACTCTAGCGCTTGCGGCTCGCCGCGATCTGTCAAATAAATCGTGGCTCGTTTCTTACGAGCTTACTTAGCTGTTGCTCTCTCCCTCCCCCTCTCTCCTCCCCTCCCTCCCTCTCTCGCTCTCGCTCTCTC